ACAGGTACATCACCCTGCAATACGGCTGGCAGCCCACTGAAGCTCAGCAGGTGTGAGCCTGGCCAGTACCTGGAGGGGAGACCTCTTGGGAAAGACAAGGTTGCTGCTGGAAGAGGTGTTAGAGGGGCCAATGGGAGGCGCTCACCCTGATTATGATTATGATTATTATTATTAGTAGTAGTAGTAGAGAGGAACCATCGTCCTGTTCCCTCGCACTACCTGGTCAACTACTGAATACACTGACCACCTGGTTATCTGCTGAATACACCGACCACCTGCTATCTGCTGAATGCACTGACCTGGTTATCTGCTGAGTACACTGACCACCTGGTTATCTGCTGAATACACTGACCTAGTCATCTGCTGAATGCACTGACCACCTCGTTATCTGCTGAATACACTGACCACCTCGTTATCTGCTGAATGCACTGACCACCTGGTTATCTGCTGAATGCACTGACCTGGTCACCTGCTGAATACACTGACCACCTCGTTATCTGCTGAATGCACTGACCACCTGGCTATCTGCTGAATGCACTGACCTGGTCACCTGCTGAATACACTGACCACCTGGTTATCTGCCAAATACACTGACCGCCTGGTTATCTTCTGAATGCACTGACCGCCTGGTTATCTCCTGAATGCACTGAGCACCTGGTTATCTCCTGAATGCACTGAGCACCTGGTTATCTGCTGAATGCACTGACCACCTGCTATCTGCTGAATGCACTAACCTGGTTATCTGCTGAATACACTGGCCACCTGGTTATCTGCTGAATGCACTGAGCACCTGGTTATCTGCTGAATGCACTGACCTGGTCATCTGCTGAATGCACTGCGCCCGGTAGTTCTCGTAGTGGACGTCACACGTCACATCCTTCAAGTCGTGCATGTGGGTGCGGATCAGCATGTTCCTGAGCTTCACAAAGTCACAGTGTGACTGGTTCTCCACTGCAGACACACACACACACACATCTGGTAAAAGCAGAACTGAGAGAAATGGGGTCTCCTGTGCTGAGCCAGTTCGGGAACCCCTGAATTCGGAGGTAAATGTGTCTATGAGCAA